ACGGTGCCCAGCAAGGTGCCTGTGTGACAGGGGATACAGGGAGCCCCTCCAAGAGGCTGGAGGCAGCAGAGCAGATGGGGCTGGGGAGCAGCCTTCCCTGGGGCATAGTGCAAACCCCGTGGCCTGGCCCAGTGAGAAGTGGGGTGAAGCCGGGATCAAACTGGCCTTGGGGGACACCCCACCCGGTGCAGGTCAGTGCGGAGGCACCCAGTCAGGGGGTGGGGGAGTCAGAGGTGCCGCCCCTGGGAGGTTTAACAGAGGGATGCAGGCTGATCCGTCCAGACCCTTCCACCAGAACTGAATTCCACCCCCCTTCCCCCGCCCCCCCGCCCAGGCCAGGATCCCGGTTTAGCCCACAGTTCCCTGACACGCTTGGGCCCAGTTAACCCTTCACTTCCCTCCTACTTCGTGTGTTTCTGAACCCCCAGGGTGCAGAGAAACGGACGTGGCTGCAATCGCAGGGGAATCCGTCCAGTTACAGCCAGTGACGTGGACGGAGTCTTGGGTAAAAATCTCCTGGGAGGTTACACTGGACTCAGGAGAGACGTATCGGCTCCTAACAGCTAATAAAGGGGAAGCCCCTCACCTCCGGTCAGTCCTGCATTTTACCAGCAGAGTCACTTTCCACCCTGAGAATCTCTCACTGCAGATTGATCCAGTTAACAAGTCAGACAGAGGCCTCTACACCTTGGAAATAACAGCGGCAGGAGGCCGTGTCGACCGCACCACGTTCCGTGTCTCTGTGTTTGGTGAGTCTCAAACTCCCGTTCCCCAGGGCATGTGACCGACGGCAGCCGCCTCCCCCGGCATCTCTCACCCGGGTCTCTCCTTCCAGAGCGCGTCCGGCAGCCAAACCTCACGGTGCTCTCGGCCCACACGCAGCACGGCCAGTGCAACCTCACCCTGTCCTGCTCCGTGCCTGGTGCTGACGCAGTCACCTACAGCTGGTCCCACGGCACATCCCCCATCCCGCCTGACAGGGACCAGCAGCTCCATGGGAACCAGTCCCTGCTGCGGCTGGTGATCGATGCCGACAGCAACGAGACCTTCTACCGATGTAACGCCAGTAACCGAGCCAGCTGGGGCGAGAACACTGTAGAGCTCCAATCGGTGTGCGGCTTCCCAGCCCCAGGTAAACATCCCTCAGTGTCACCCCCATTGCAGCCGGAGTGTCACTAACGCCGAGGCCCCTTTGTTCTCCGCTAGCAGCATGAAAGGGCCTTACAGAGCAGCCAGCCCTGGTTCCGGCTGGTCTGTGCTCAGTCGTGTCTGTGTCCGAAGAGACGTCAGACGCTCCCTCCATTCGGTGTCAGGGAAGGTGGACGGGGGCCGGCTCTGGGCCCACGAGTGTCTGAGGTTTCAGAGCAGAGGGCACCTTGATCCAGCCCAAGCAGCACGAGATCCAAAGGCTGCAAGCTGGGATGGGGGAGGCATTGCCCCTGGCTCAGACGGGCAGAGACCCTGGGGGCGGGATTCCCCTTCTCTGCAGCATGGGTCAGGGGTTCCCAGGCGCCCTGGCCCCTTTCCCTGCTCACTCCATGGGTGCAGCAAGCGCAGGGCATCACCCATCGCTCCCTGCCTGATCCAATCATGTTCCTCCCCCCAGGCACTGATGTCCCAGCGGGGCCAAGCCCTACACTGACCTATTGCCACGTGAGGGGGATTCTCCTGCTGGTGGTGCTGGGAGCCCTGGTCACGGCCAGCGTCACAGTGCACGTCTGCACCCGGGACAGAGAGAGACTGGACTGAGCGAGCCCAGTGGCCCAGGCACGGAGCTGTCAGTGCTGCTTGGGGCCACGGCACCATCTGCAAAGGGGCTTCTCTCTCCTGCTGGAAACGGGAGCCCAGAGCTCACCTGGCGACGGGCCCAGTGTCACGGGGTTGCAGTCACAGGAGCCCCTTCGGGAATGTTCCCCGTGTGCCGATCACGCCACTGACGCCTGCTCTCAGGGGCTCCCTGTCACCGTGCGCTCTTGGGTCAGACGCTGCTCTCCCCAGGCCAGGCACAGAGTCGGGGTCACCCCCCCGCAGAGCCAGGCAGACACTGACCCGCTGCAGTGCTGGGAGGGGGCAGTTCTAGGGCCCAGCCCCCGAAAGGGATCAGAGCCCAGATAAATCCGTCCTGCTCCGCGTAAGTTTCACAGCACAGCCCGCGAGGACGTGCAGCCTCTCTCAGAGACAGGGAAGAGGGATGCGCACTGGCCCCCCCTCCCCGCAGGGACAGTGATTTAAACTGGGGGGGGATAACAACCGCTCCGGCACTGGCCCTGCGAAGGGGGTTAAGTGGAGGGATGCGCACTGGCCCCCCCTCCCCGCAGGGACAGTGATTTACATTGGGGGTGAATAACAACCGCTCCGGGCACTGTCCGTGCGAAGGGGGTTAAGTGGCTGCCAGTGAAAACAGCCGGGAAGTGACTAAGTGGCAGTGACCAGGACCCACGCGGCCTGTGCTCATTCACGCCAGTGCAGGGCAAGCAGACCCCCCGAACGAGCTGATCTTGGTCGAGGCAGAATCTTCAGGCCAGAGACTTTACCCTGAGCTGGGCGCCCGGCCCTTTGCCCCCTCTCAGGGGCTCCAGACAAGCGAGGGCGGAAGCTTCCCAACGCTCACATGGTCCATGGTCTTTCCCCAGGGCGGGAACTGTTTGTTCTGCATCCCCCATTCTGGGGAATATGGGGGTCAAAATGGCAGCCCAGTGCCAGGTGCCGGCCACGTGTCCTAGGACAGCGCTCACCAACCAGTCGATCGGGACCCACTGGTAGATCTTGGCGCCTCTGACGGGTGATCCTGACTGGTTTGGCCAAGGGGCTGTCAAGCGCCGGCGCTTCAGCTCCTCCCCAGAGCGCTGCGCATCTCCTGCCCTCTGCCTTGGAGCTGTCCCCGGAGGAGCCTCTGGCTTTCTGTGCAGGCAGGGGGTGCTCATGCCAAGGTGCCCCCCTTCCTGCTCTGTATCCTCTCTGCACAGAGCAAACAGGGCACAACAGGGCCAGGGAGGGAGTTCGCCGGCTGCTTTTGGGAGTGGTGCAGGGCCAGGGCAGGGGGGAGTCTGCCTTAGCCCCGCTGCACCCCACCCAGGAGCCCTGAGGTCAGCAGTGCCCAGCTGGAGCCCATACCCTGAACTCCTATCCTAGCCATGAACCTCCTGCACCCCTAGTCCCTGCCCAGCCCCGAGCACCCTGCATCCAAACGCCCTCCCAGAGCCTGCACCTGGAACCCCCGCCGGCCCCCCACGGCCTGCCCCAAGCTCAGATCAGAGCCCTCTCACATCCCCAGTGCCAAGGCCAGAGCCTGCACCTGGAACCCCCGCCGGCCCCCCACGGCCTGCCCCAAGCTCAGATCAGAGCCCTCTCACGCCGCCAGTGCCAAGGCCAGAGCCTGCACCCCAATGCCTGGTGAAAGGGAGGGAGGGTGGGGGGAGAGGAGGAGGCGGGGCCTCGAAGAAGGGCAGGACGTTGGCGGGGCAATGGTGTTTGGATGGGAGGTAGATCCCGGTGTGCACTGAAATTCAAGAAGCGATCTCATGCTTAAAAAGGTGGCAGGCCAGTGTCCTAGGCCCACCACGGCTTCGGCTTGCAGGACAAACAAAGCTGTTTACCGGTCACTGAGCTGATCACCAGCCACGATTAGTGACTCAGCAGCACAGTTCAAACTGCAAACAACAATCTCCAACATCGGGGGTCGGCAAACCCTGGCACTCGAGCAAGTGGGGCCGGAGCTCAGCCCTGCCCTCCTCCCCGCACAGCGGCTCCAGCCTCGGCCACGCAGCTGCAGGCGGGAGAACAGCTCCGGCTGCCTGGCAGGGGAGGCGGCAGGGGAGGCGCATGCGTCCCTGGGGCTACTGCTGCGTCCCTGGGGCTTGCCGCTCCCCGGAGCTAAGGGGCTAAGCCACTCTCCCGCACTACAAGCTCTGTGCCTGCTTCGGGAGGGGGCGGGGCAGAGCCTGCTGGGGGGGCGGCTGGTCACAGGTGGCACGCTGGGGCCTGGGGTGCACCATGCTTATGGTGACTATGTCCCTTTTTTCCTGGGACAGGCCCGGATTTAAAGGTTCTTTCCCCATAAAGGAGGCAAATGTCCTGGAAAATGCATTCAGCTCTGACTACAGACTAGGGCTGCCAGGTGTCCAGTATGACCTGGACACTCCTGTCTGCTAAACAAAATTCAGAAAATACCAGACACCTAAAATGTCCGGTATTTGCTGGTTTTTTTCCTCCTGCCGGGGGGCGAAAATACCAGACATCTGGCAACCCTACGAACACACTCAGCAACCGGGCCCAGTCTCCGGCCCTGCTCAGACGCCTCCTCCTCACTTACCCGGGTCCACAGGGGCTTGTCTTGTGGCTGGAACAGAAGAACAAGATGGTCACTGGCAAAAGAGCCTCTTCTTAAAGGGGCTATTCTTTTTTTTGCTTGCTTAATAACGTCTGTCGGTGTTTACGTCTTGTCTGGACGAAGCCCTGGCTGGGCTGATTGAGTTGGGCTGGTCCTGCCTTGGGCAGGGGGCTGGACTGGATGACTCCTGAGGTCTCTTCCAGCTCTGTGGTTCTACGATTGTGTGTCACTGGGAGCCGGGCCCCAGCCCCCCGCGTGCCAGGCCCCAGTGACACACACAGAACCCCCACAGGCGGAAGGCGCTGTCACCGTTTCACCCCCCCCCATCCAGCCGCGAGCAAGAGACATGAGAGAACCTGCCCCGACCCGACGCCCTGACCAGGGGCCAGGCCCAGGCCAGGCCATCGCTCGACCCTGATCTCAGGTCCCAGCCCTGCGGGTCTGGGGCGCTCGGCTGTTTGACTCGTTGCGCCATTCGCCACAAAGGGGCAGAGCGGCTCGTGGGGGG